CATTATTCAAGCTGAGATCTATTTCACTTTCTACAATTACTGCATGACATTCCCACAGCTTGTTTGACTTGTTGCTGTCAGGACGGTGTCATCCGCATTGCTTGTATTACTTATGGAAACCAGCTGTGATCTCTGGTTATCTTGTATACATGTCATTGATGTTCACTGTATAATGAAACTAAATCTGCTAACAGTACACATATTTGTTGCACATCCCCGTGATGCTCTGATATGTATTTAATGGTGACTGTCCGTGATGTTAACAAGTCTTATTTTTATAGTCCGTCCTATGAAGAGCTGCCGTGGTGTAGCGGCTAGACGCTCGCCTGCGCATCGGAAGGGCAGGGGTTCGAGTCTTGACGGAGCCGGACTTTTCTTTTTTATAACTTTGGCTTTCAAGTCGATCCAGCCTTGGATAGGTACCAGGCAAGTCCTGGGAAGTAAAGGCGGGTCTTAGTGTTGACTGCATCGCCCATCGAGTGCCGACTGATCAATAAAATATAGGTCTAGCCCTATACGCCCAATACGTCTGAAGGAGTGGAACGTATTCATTAACTTACTTTATTTATGTGGCGTTGGTAATCATGACTGTCCCCAGCTTTCTGTCTTGTGTAATATAGAATGGTCATCTTTGGCCTCTCAACAAATGTGGACTTGATTATATTCAAGGAATAGAAATCAAGAACAAAGCATTTTCCTTTTATTGTTGTTTTATATTTTAATTTCATAGTATTTATTGTTACAATATGTCGTACATGATTCGTGCACATCAATGGACATAATTAATCATCAACGAAGTAAAGAATATGTGAGATAATATATTTCGAATTACACACAGTTCCTTCAGCGTACTTTCAGTCCGCACTTCAGTAAATAGTGGTAATATATTAGGTGAATGGGGCTGGGCTGAGAACCGAGATCACAGCGCTTAGAAAAACCCATAAGTACCCCTTCCTAATCTTCAGCAGCAGCGTTGCTGTACAAATGGTGCCAGTTGCTCAAGCTTATTACATTTTCGTCTTGCGCTTCTTCGGTCATGGCCAGATCATCTGGTCACTACCCGCTGCACCTTTCTCTGTGACTGATAAGTCAAGTGAAAGTAAAAACAACTGTTCACGCCTTTAGGCGCATTGGGCATATTGGAAGAAAACCCATATTTTTACAGACCAATCGGCATTAAGTGGGTAATGTGGTTTGAATTACGCCTGCCGTCTTTACTTCCCCAGGACATACATCCTGTACCCATTTTAGGCTGGGTCGACCTACGACGCCCCATACCACGATAAAAATCCAGCTGACATTAATCTACTGTAGAAAGTAGACGTGTTGACATATATTAGTGTTCTCGTCATCCATGTGTCACAAAGTTGCGGATAGAGTGGTTTTTGGTAGGCACAGAAAGGAACCAACAGAGGGTATGTATATATAGGTGGGTAGGGAAGGGGATCAAACATCACCTCCTCAATAAAAACTATTAATAATAATATTAATAATAATAATAGGTACAATTTCTATTTCTTTTATGTCTCTGGTCATCTCCTGCTTATTCAAAATCCTTTGATTTTGGGCCGACTTGTCTGTAGTTCTACAGTCAACTTGATAGTATTGTTGTCACACTCTCTGTGGTGAGGCTAATATAGTAAAGTTGCCTCTAACTTTGTTTAGTTGGTGGCATGGATGATTGGTTGTTGTTTGATTGATTGGAGGGGTGGACAGATTAAAGAGTTGATGGATGGCTAGGTGATTGGTTGGTTGTTTGACATTAGTTAATCGATAGATTCATGACTGGTTGTTTTGAAAAGATGGATAGATGCATTAGAAGATTATTGTTTTGTTGAATCACTGGTTGGTTAAATGATCGGTTGGCTGAAGAATAACTTGTTAGACCATTGGTTCGTTCAATGGCTGGGTGGTTAACGATTGGTTGGCTACATAGTTGTTTGGGAGATGTGTTTACTGACTAGATGGGTGAGTGGCGGATTAATCCTAATATAATAGAATGCGACACTTTGACGTTCTGTTAGTTGCACTCTGTCGCACAGACTGACTTGGCACCAAGGAATCGCCTCTCACGGCGACTGTTGCAAAGTTAGACCTTCCAATCTCCAAAATTAGAAACACGCCGGGTGTATAACTCCGATAATTGAATTTCAGATCGGCATTGAGATACAAGAGAATGCAATAAGGTCATTCAAACTCACAACGACATGGACGTTCATTGTGAGCTCAAGAGGGGGAAGACATCAAGGAGACAAATGATACTTTTTCGGTTTAAACACGCAAAAAAACACACACAATGAAATCCTAGCTGTAACGGTGACACTGGTATGGCTGGAAACTCAAGAATGCACAGACGCCTACATGTTGAGTGACTACACTAATACAAGACCGGAATCCAGCTGACAGGGCACGCTGCTGATGTCACCAAACCCGGCTAACGATACGCAAACGCAGTGCTTCTCAAACTTTTGTCATCGGGGGAAAAAAAATTCGCGGCACATTTACCCTTAAACCAGTTTCAATAGTTAAGAGAAAAATACTAAACTGTTCACATTTAATGTCAAGCAAATTTGGAAGAACTCTTGATTATTGTCGCGGTACCCCGAACATACGCTCGCAGCATCCTTGGATGCTGCGGCACCCGGTTAAAGAATCATTGCGTTTACGTATCGTTAGCTCGGTTGGGTGACGTCAGCAGCATGGCCCGTCAGCTGGAGCCGGTCTTGATTAATATGTTCAAGAAAATTCAGGCCTCTTCACCAGATAGCAATTGGTGGTCTCTTTAAATGTACTGAGAAAGACTGTTCTAGCCCATATTTTTGTGCCCTGAATCTGGGTGTTCTAGGCTATGAGCATGCAGATTATCTGGCAGATAAAACCGTAACTATTACTGGACCAACGCCGAACAGAAACAGTGCTATAATTGGCTTCATTAAGCTTAGCAGGGACCATCGTATTCGAACTGAAACCTGTGATTTGTGGACTACACGATAGATGGGAAAGGTGGGAGGGTGGAAAGGGGGGGGGGGGGGGGGTGGGGGGGGGATTGTAGAGGGAACCTCGTGCACTTGTCCTGTTTATGGTCCATGCAGGACTAGTCACGTGGTAAAAACAACTGATTGAAGAAGAAATATGAGGCAATGCAATGTTGGCCTCACATTTCGAAAGACACATAGATATAAAAGCTTGAACAATAATCGTATGATTTGACAGAGATTGCAGACTGAACTGCAGCATAACATACTATATTTGTATAATGATATGATTGGTATCATATTCAACAGTTACGTATTAACCTCTATATGAATAAAGAAACACAATTTATTGTACACTTGTGTAGAAACTGACTAGCAAGCTGTTAGTATTGTGTTCACAAAAAGAAAGGCCCATATGGCCCTTATGTATTAACAAATAGCTAATCAATAGGTGCCCATGTTCGTTAGCTGGCAACAGGCACAGCTTCAGAAACTCGCAGAGAAGGGAATGTACCACCTTCCATTGACACTGGCACATGCTTTGGGAGAGGCTGACTGTGGAAGGATGTAAGTGTGCTGCGGTGTCGATGTCAGAGGATGTCCGGGGGTCATGTGACCATGCGGCGAGGAGGACATCATGCTGTGATGATGAGTGGAGGCAGAGATGTCAAGGGAATGTGAAGCCATGGGCACAAGAGGGTCTGCAGAGCTGCCTCTGTCGCATAGAGACTTGGCTGGTGAATGCTGCAGCATAGGATATTCGCTTTTAATCTGCGCCATGTATTCAGACTTGTTCTGCATCAGGTCATAGCCGAGGTTCTTTTGGGCAGAATAGTCATACTTGTCCGGATAACAGTAATCATTGCGATGAGCCATAATATAGTGGTCAGCCTTGATTCCCTCCATGTAGTCATGCTTGCCAGACCTCATGTAATCATTCTTCATATTGATTTGATTAACATAATCCTGTTTGCCTTGCTCTAGATACCCTATTTTGCCAGATTCTGGATGGCCAGATTTGGCGGGATCAAAATGATTGTAAACAGGGCGGGACACATCTAAATACCCTGCTGATTTCGCTGCTTCTAGATAAGCCATGTTCATAGGATCCAGGTAGCCAAGTTTGGCAGAATCCATCCCATACTTCACGTTGTCATAAGGCGACTTGTACACTTCAGAATTACTTTTAGCCAAATCCAAATATCCAGATTTGGCAACATTCTGGTAAGAT